AGACGGTGCGGCCAGGAAGGGGAGGAGTTGAATGCTGAGGAAGAAGGTCTTCCGAGCGGCTTGATTTGTCTGAATGCTCCGTCAAACTCGACGTCGTGCCTAGCGCGAACTCGCTTCCGTCACTAACGCTGTTCTCGTCATCTACCGTATGCATACACGTATACGTCGTTCGGATAGCTGGGAGGTCCGGAGCGATTTGAGATAAGAGCGTTCGTAGAGCGTCCATTTTTTCAAATCCTGAAGAGTCTTCACAGGCGGGGGTTCCAACCACTCTCTTTATCAATACACCCTGTTTATGCGGGGGTAGACCATATAGGATTTGCAAATAAATCAGACTTTAGCTTACAAACTCTAGTTCTTTAAGATTCAGGACAATCGCATCCGGAAGTTTATCAAAGGTCCGAGGGCGCGGAAACGGGGTGCAGTACTGTACATGTATAGTTTGAATGTTGTCCGTCGCAGCGGTCCCGAAATGCCCTAAGATCCAAAAAGACGTGGCTCGCTATAAGCTGGGCGTCGTCAAATCAACGTCTTTTAGCTCTCACCGGCTGAGCGGTTCTCAAATTACCCTAAGATCGAAAAGATGTTGCTTTCGCTCTCAGGTGGTCGAGAGGTTGCGTCGTCAAAATAGCAGCTGCCTCGAAAGAACGTTCCAGGACTGGTCTCGCAGGTAAATTACGGAAAGTGAAAAAACTGCCGGCGTAATGTTCCATGTCATTCTTGGCAACACTCACTCGGAATTAATATCTATTCCCAGACACAGCGCCTTGCCGAGTCGAGGACTTAGAGGCCGGGGTGGGGCAGGCCGCGCAGCGGCGCCCCCCGAGCGCAGCGCAGCCAGCGAAGAGAGGGGCGGGCTCACGGCTATAAGTCCGCAGACGAGTGCAAACGCGCTAGTGTCCTACCTTTACTCCAATTTAACCGTACTATACTATCTGTACACGTATATAAGTCGATGCTATGTTACCTCAGTCGGGCAAAATAACGAGTGCCATTAAAAATCTGCCAGCGTATTGCTTTTATCAATATAGTTTGAATGTTGTCCGTCGCAGCGGTCCCGAAACGCCCTAAGATCCAAAAAGACGTGGCTCGCTATAAGGTGGAGAGAGCCTACGTACACAGTTTGGTGGCGATGAGTCAGCATTTTGTGCAGAGTCTTACAGAATCACGCTCTCAGTAGATACCGGTACTTTACTTCGAAGTAATAAATTTGCGCAGGAGACCTACAGCGCAACGGCCATTGCGTTACTTAATAAGTAAGAGGTCCCCGTAATCCAGCAGATTTCCGCTGACCGTCGGCTAAGTCCATTTTATGCATGTTGGGGAGTATAATTGTATAGTCGGTTAGCCAGTCGGGCAAAATACTCACTTCCATTTTTAATTAGTTCGGACCAGCGCGACGTGGCGTCTCATCATTGGTTGAAAATCTATGTCACGCGCTTTCTTTTCCGCTTAAGTACGCCAGAAATTCTCCCCTCATTCCAGAACCTGCCGTCTCGAGTAAAGATGGTGGTGGTTTCCCTGCAGTGCGCGATTGTCGGTCAGGCAGGAAGCTCGTTCGATGTGGAGATTGACGATGGCGCGAAGGTGAGCAAGTTGAAGGATGCGATCAAGGCGAAGAATGCAACGACTATCACGGGCGACGCCAAGGACCTTCAGCTCTTCCTGGCGAAGCAGCCCGTCGAAGATGAGAGCGGCAAAGAGGTCGTCCCTGTTTACCGCCCTTCTGCGGAGGAGATGAAGGAGGAAAGTTTTCAGTGGCTCCCAGACGAACATCGGGCTGCTCTGAAGCTGCTGGAAGGAGAATCTGATGACTACATATATGCGCTGACGGCCGGAGAACCGATTCTGGGCTCAAAGACCGTAACAACGTGGTTTTACACGAAGAACAACATGGAGCTTCCATCCAGTGAGCAAATTCACGTGCTGGTGGTGGTTCCGAAAGGTAAAACGACGCTCTGCAGCCATGGCAATCGGCGTGCACCCTCTTTGCCAGCAACTAACAATACACCGGCACCCGAACGTCTCAAACGATGGGCTGCGATCATGCAGGGTTCTGGAAAACCCCAAAACCTTGAAATATCAGGGGTATTTATTAAATAGCATGGGTGGGTGTTAAAATTGGATTTTTAGCACCTATCCCTTCACCAATTCTTTTAATTGGATGCAATTACTCCATGAATTGGGCGAACAGAATGGTTGGGCAAGCCAATCATTCTGTTTTGCACGCAGCAGTAATTTTCGACTTCTTTGCGGACTCTCATTCTCCAAAACTCTCCCCTCTCCTCAAGACCTCTGAAGCCTAGCCTACGCAGCATGTCGCTACGGACCGGCGCGATTCCAGCTAGCTCGGGGAACCTCCTGTCGTCATACAACAGAGGGATCTGACTGTTCGCCCCGGTCGGAAAGCTTCGCTGTCTGCGAGCCATGTGGATGTTCAACCAGCCAAACAATTTTGTATATTGCTAAATCTATTAATAGAATGTAGCTACTGAAATATTTGTTTTCTAAATCCTTACAAACTTCTAATATATGAAATTACCAAAGTTGACACTCTTAATTCACAAACTTCACAGTAGTGATTTTGCTCTGCACAGCAGGGTGGGATGTGCAGGTCTATCGATGCAAACAGTGTTTGCGGATTGACCATTGCAGAATGCCGTGGCTTTACGCCCCCTATACCATACTAAGCGCCCAATCAACGACTGCAGTGCACTGTACAAAAGTACGTCGGGGTTTTGATGCGATCGTTCACAGTTCTTCGGCCTGTGCTGAAGCAAGGAAATTTAAGAGTGATACCTGATTGGACCTCGACCAAGTTCTGGAGCTCGAGGCGATATGCTATTTGATGGATGGACTAGAGATTGATAAATCTGGATTGATAGAGGAGAGGGATAGTGGGCGGGTGAATGACTAATGGGTGGACTAGAACATGATGGGTGGATGGTTTTTTTAATAATCCTCAATAAACCCTTCCTGCAAACTCTCGGGGTGGGTGGGTGGTATAAACGGTTTTTTCCCGACCAATTTATCCCCAGTCCAGAACCCTGGATCAATGCAATGATTCGTCAGAAGAATCAAGAGGCGAACCAGAAGACCACGAGTGAAGACACCAAGAAAACAAGCAAAAAGCGGAAAAATCACGATGTCGACAAGACTGTGGGCTAGTCGAGTCTTTGTTGGGAAGATATGAAACCTATTTACAACTTCGACGATTCTTTCGACCTTCAACCAAGCGATATACCTGATGCTGACATCGAGCTACCCCTCGCTCGTATTCGTGACTTGCGGGAACTCTATGGAAAATTTCGAATGGGAAAGAAGCCAGAGGATTGTTTTATCGCCCCGATCCTTGAGACAGTCAGTCGTCTGCTTAAGAACGTCCGCATATTAGTCGAAGAGGACGTGGTTGGGAAGAACGTGCTCCTGAAAGGTCGATTCGAGTTCGTGCTCAAGCGTGGCACCAAGAGAATTTCACTTGTCCAAGCAAAGCGTGAAGATATGCTGCAAGGAATGGTTCAGAATGTGACGGGGCTCGAAGCTCTTGTGATGTCGAAGATCTTACTTTGACGTATGGCATTGTGACGAATTTTCTCGAGTGGAAGTTCTTGATCAGTGGCGACGAGAAGGTCAGAGAGCATGAGACTGTTCTTCCTCAAGCGAATACCATACCGTCGTTTGAAGGATTGAAAGAAATTGTGGGGAGAATTTACGCGATGCTGCAATAAATATCTTCCATATGCAATCCTTTTGCTTATTTTCTAATTGAGATCTTCTTACATGCACTCATCTGCTTAATCATGGCATCGAAAGGTATCTCTGATCGTCCACTCAACGATAGCACTTAAGAGCATCTAGAGAAATCCGTCAAGCTACCGGTGAAACTAAAGAATGAGAGATCAACAGAGCGCGCGCCACACCTCCAGGATTGAATCAAGTAATATTTGTTTTATTACTGATAAATATAAAGTTAGTAATATACAAAAAATGGCGTACTCACCTCAGCAATACCTCGCTAACAAAGAGCGTATTAAGGCTGCGCAGAAGCGCTACTATCAGCGCACACGTGAAACTCGACTGTCGTATCAAAAGAGCTACGACGATAAGAACAGAGCAAAACCGAACTTATTGATGAACCTAACAACGAAACCGAACTTAATTAATTATTTTTTTCTCAAATAAAAAGTCAATCCCAATATAGTCAATGACAATGGCTTAAAACCTCCAAAAAGGTATAACCCAAATATTTGAATTGATTAATTTCAGAATCTTTTGTAATGACTAAGATATAAAGTCGATCCTGATACATGATCAAAATATTATAAAGTCATATCTACGAAGAAGAATATAGCCAAGCATATATAGGCAACATGTTTGCATACGAGCTCGAAGGATTAAAGAGATTAAATATTCAAGCTATCAAATGGGGTAGTAGCTACCGTGTTAAGGTGCGTGGTAGAACGGGTAAGATGGTTTATGTAAGCAACGTTTCGCGCCCAATCAACCAGAAATTGGTAGCTAAGCAGTACAATGTTTCGACTGAAACCCTTGAGAAACACTTGTCGCCTGACTACAAGGCTGATCCTAAGTACCGTTTTTACAATGGTAATCACATGGAATCACACCTATATGAGGGTATTGAGGCTACTGATTTCTACGATAAGCTTGAGAACGTTCTTTCGACTCAGGCAAGTGCGTTCAAGGTAAATGTTGCTCTCGGGTACGAACTTGTGAGCAAGACTGATCCTGATGACACTCGCTACTTCTATCCGAATCTCGCTAACACTTATGTGTTCAATAAGCCTGTCGGCAGCGGGGCTGCCGTAGCTCTAGCGTCAGAGGAAGACGTTCGACTCAAAGAGTCACCAATACTAAGTTCCTTATCCAAAGGACACTTACAGCCCAAGACCAGGGCTCAAAGTTAACACCTTAACTTTTATGCTTCAAAACCAGAAGTGTTTTATTTACTATTATTGCGGCCAAGCCGCCTAGGGGTAAATGTATCTGTTTAACTATCTAGCATAGTTAAACCTAATCAAATGCATAACGTATGGCTTTCGGCCAAGGTACTGAGAGACCTTGTTAACTTTCCAGCTTATGTACTGAGAGTTTGTTAACTCTCCGGGTACTTCGTACCCCTGTGTGTTCCACACTATGTAACCCCGTTACACTCTCCCCCACTAAGATGAGAACATTCCGTTCTCGAAACTTTCCTCAGCGAGGTCACGTCTTGTTAAGACGGCGGAGGTTACTACACCTCACCCCAGCGTTGTACAGCTCCGTGAGCTCACAAACGCCTACGCATCGTTGATGTTCAACTTCTCGTCGTCGGCCCACGGCCCAATGTTTCAAGCGCAGCGCGCATCTTGCTCTCAAGCGGTCTCAGACCTACGCTCGCGCTCCGCGCCTACTCCAAGAGTTGCAAACCACTTAGAGCAATGCTCTTGACTCATTCGAGTCGTCAACAGCAGCTCAGCGGCTGAACACTCGCTTCACAAGCGATAGGTCGGTGGTTCGAACCCACCAGGGCACAGCCCTCTCGTTCCATGAACAACTGTTCACGCTTGGACAAGCTCAAGGGCAACACCCTTTTAGCTCAATGGTTGAGCGTTGGCTTTGAGAGCCACAGGTCGGTGGTTCGAACCCACCAGGGCACAGCCCTCTCGTTACATGAGCGATTGTCCACGCTTGAACAAGCTTAAGGGCAATCCCCTCTTAGCTCAGTGGTCGAGCTTTGGCTTTGGAAGCCACAGGTCGGTGGTTCGAACCCACCAGGGCACAGCCCTCTCGTTCCATGAACTACTGTCCTTGAAAGGACAAGCTTAAGAGCAACGCCCTTTCAGCTCAGTGGTCGAGCGCTGGCTTTGGAAGCCACAGGTCGGTGGTTCAAATCCACCCGGGCGCAGCCCTCTCATACCATGAGTAGTCCGTTCTCGGACTGACGTACGTACATCGCCCTTATAGCTCAATGGTAGAGCTCCGGCCTGTCAAGCCAAAGGCCAGTGGTTCGATCCCCGTCCGGGACACCACTTTCGCTGTTACAGCGCATCCACATTTGGATCATGCTCATCGAGCAAGTTGTTTCAAAACAACTATGCGTCTATCGAGACGCTTGTGCCTGAGCCTTGTTCAGCACAACACGAAGCACCTGCTTCCTTCGGGACCATGTCCCTAACACTACGAGGTCTCTCCACCTCCTGCTCCCGCTGCGAGCACCGCTCATACGTACGAGCTGGCTGCTGCAGCCACTGGTCAGAGCCTGAGCTCAACTACTGACCTGATCGCCCCCCACTCTAGTGGGAGGCGCCCAGCGCCTGGCGACGCTGTCGCACGCCATGGTGGCGCTTCGGCACATGATGTGCCCGGTCGTAAGCGTCAACGACGTCAGGGCAATCTTGCCGGAGGATAACCTCAAACTTCCATGAGTTCTGTGAGTGAGGGTAACCCCTCCACTTCACTAAGTACCGGGTACGACCCTGGCGTCTACGCCACGCCACAAGGCGTTCCACGTGAAAGTGGAGCTCACCATGCTCATCGAGCAGAGCAGGAGGAGGCCTTGCCTCAGCTGGGCTCTCGCGGGGAGAGCCAGCACTTGCCGGAACGGCGTCTGCGTCCATACGACGCCGGCGTCCACGACGCGAACGTTCACGTTCACCGCCCATCGGTCGATCTCGAAGAGATGATCCACCTTGTGGATAGGTTAGAGCCACCACTGTTGACTCACAACCAGGTCTCGGACCTTGAGCGTCCAGTCGCTCGGCTGAACGTTCAGCTTGCCTTGCTCCTGCATCTCGAGCACTTCGCTCCGCGACCTGTGGCTCTGCCACATGCTGTTGATCAGCCATCTGTGGATCCACCACTTGCTGTCGTTCAGCCTCCCGTGGCTCTACCACCTGCTGCCCTGCAGCTGTCCGTGGCCCAGCGACCGTTTAATGCCAACGCCTCCGCGCTCACTTGAGCAGGGTCTTGGTATGGCTTAAGCAAGCCAACATAGAAGACCGGATGCGTGCGCATCTTCTTCGGAAGGTTGAGCGTACCGTATTTGAGATCTCCTACTTCAGAGTGATCTCCTAATTCAGACTGCCCTCCAACCAATCACATAT